CTCAAAACTAATATTATTAAAATTGTATTGAGTCCAAAATGAATAAGTTCACTTTAAAAACAACAATTGGATTTTCATTTAAACTAAAAAAAAATGTTTAAAGATACTTTTGATTGAACTTTGAAAATCATATTATTTATATAGAACCAAAATATAAAACTTAAGAACATGTACTAAATAAATCTTTTTCAAAATTTTGATCAAGCTTATTTAGCTTAATATTTGTCATTTCAAAATAAGGATCAATTCAATGTTAACAATATACTAGTTTTTCAAGATCAAACGCTTACCATTATACCCAAAAGCTATAGCTGATAGTGAAAGTGTAACTTTATTTTCTTATTCTTTTTGGCAATGCAGAGCCCTGCACTAAACGACAAGTGGGCAAAAAGGGCTTCGCAAAGCCTTTTTAGGATACCTCACCCTTTGGGCCTCGATAGGTTAGGTTCCCATACATTGGAATTCAATCTACCATGAGATGCCTTACCTAGATGAACCGACATACTGAGTCTTTAAGAGAGATCGTTGGACCTCATAATCCAACAATCTCCCCCAATGGTACTTAGGGGACTTGAACCTGTAACCTCACTCTGATACTAGTTTTTCAGGATTAAGCATTTACCACTATACCAAAAGTTATAGTTAATAATGAAGGCATAACTTTATTTTCTTATTTTTGGTAGCACAGAGCCTTATACTAAGTGACATGTGGACATAATGGGCTTCATAAAGCCTTCTTGGGATACTTCACTTATTGGACCTCAGCAGATTAGGTTGCTATACATCGAAATCCAATCAACCATAGATACCCCACCTAGATGAACCGACATATCGAGTCCCTAAGAGAGATCATTGGACCCCATAATCCAACAAAATATGTTTAATCTTTAATTTTGATGATGTGATCTTTTATATTTAAATTTAATTTTTTAAAATTTATTTATGAAAAACATTTTTTGTTATGAAATCAATATTATTATTATTTTCATTTTCTATAATTTCTCTAATGCTGTAGCAAAACTTATAAAAGATCTTTATTTAAAAAATTTTTGAAAACTTAACCATTCACAAAATTTCGCAAATTTCATCATAGGATATTTTATTTATTAATTAAAATTGATTTTAAGATTATCATTATTCTTTGACGAAATCTTAAAATTTATTAAATAGGTTTTAGGATTATATCGACTTTTTAACAAAATCTTAAAAATTTTAAATAAATTTTAGGATCATCTCCACTTTCTGATGAGATCTTAAATAAAATCATTTTTGTTGATGATAATTAAGAGATTTAATTAATTAATTATTATTTTTTTGTGATTATTTTATTTTTTATTATTTTACTTTTGAAATGAATAATTTATTTAGTAAAAAATAATTTTTTTTGTTTTTTCTTTGTTTTAAATTATCCTAACTTTTGATGAAATCCAAAAAATACTTTTTGTAGCAATTAAGATATTTATTTAAAGAAACATTTTGATTTATTATTTATTATTTTTATATTGCTTAAATAAATATTTATTCTAGTAAAAATAATTTTAAGATTATTCCAACTTTATGGTGAAATTCAAAAAATATTTTTACTTGTAATAATTAAAAAAAATCAAACTCTTTCAATTTTATCTAAAAATTATATTTAAAAAATAAGTAAACAATTCATTAGTTTTCATATTTATTTTTTAATCTTTTTATTATTTTTTAGCAAAAATTATTTTTTAAATTATCTCAATACTTTGGTGAAATTTAAATAATATTTTGCTTGCAACAAAATTTTCATTTTTTTTAAATAGTTATTTTTTAAGGATTTTTTTAAAGATTTATGTTTATTATTTTTTTTATTTTACCAAATATACATTTTATTTTATTTTATTTTTACTCATTTCTAAAAAATGAATAATAATAATAATAATAATAATAATAATAATAATCATAATCATAATAATAATAATAACAATAACAATAACAACAACAAAAATAAAAATAACATAAAAAAATACAAATAAAATCAAAAGAAAAAAAAAAAAGAAAAAGAAAACTGAACTAACGGGTCGAGTCAAGAGCAAGTCGAGGTGTGAGCGGGGTGTAGATCCGGATGCCAAAACGACATCGTTTTGAAGGTGCTACAAAAGGCCCAAAAGTCAAGTTTTTTTCATTTTTCCTTTCTCCTCTCTCTTTCTACTCCTAAGAGCCTTTCTTTTTAGAACCACAACCTCTTCTGTTGGTGCCATGGCAACCTAGATTCCCACTACCCTCCATCATACCGTCGTCAAAAAATTCAACCAACATTGAAAAATCAAACTCTTATCAAATTCAGACTTATTTTCCAAATTTCAGTAGCAAAAAAAAAAAAATCAAATGGCCGCAAAAAAATTCATCATTCCTAGATTTCAATCAACCAAAAAAAATAAAAAAAAATTCCAAAAATTCTTAATAAAATCCTTTTGACCTCTTCAACAACTTTCTCAAACTAGTTTTACAAAAAAAAAAAATCTAGAAATATCCTAATCAAGACTTATAGTTTCATTTTTTTTGTTGGCTCCTATGTTCGTAAAAGACTATAGTCTTTTTTTTTTGTGCTTGTGAATGTTTCCCTTTTTTTTTTTCCAGAACCCTCTTGTCCAAAACCCCTTTGTGTTTGTGTTGTTGTTGGTTTTTTTTTTTTTTTTACAAGAATCAGCTTCATTTATAAAGCTTTTGGGATTCAAATCCTAAATTTTCTAGGATTTTTTGTGAAAAAATTTATCCAGTGACTAAATGCTGCTAAATTAGGTAGTGAGAGGAGAAAAAACAATCAAGTTGCCAGCGTTAAAACAAAAACTTGATTTTTTTTTTCTTCATTTTTTATTTTATTTTATTTATTATTATATATATTTTTGGTGGACAAATTATGTCTCTACATTCTTGGGTTTATCATCTCATAATTGTATATTAGTGTTGAAGTAAATCTGGTTGCAAAGGGATTAATTATCACTGTAGCTTAATGTACATACAATAACGGGATGGAATTTTCATGCAACAATATAAGCGAAAACCATCCATCCAAATTAAGTCTTTTACAAGGGCATAAAGCCTTTAGTTTCAAACCTAACAGCCTGTCTGGTAAAATTCCATCTAGCATTGGAAACATGAACCTCAATTGGAACAATCTAAGCCGAGAGATCCCAACGGCATTCACTTTAAGCTTGTCATGCAACAATCTAAGTGGGAAAATTCCAAAAGGGCCACACTTCGAGCCATTGAGCAAAGATGGATATGGCATACACCAGGAACAAATTCTTATGCTGAGCATCGACTGTGACAGCAAGGTTACCCTAACTCCGGAATCATTTGATTTGGAAAATCATTACCCATAAGTGGAAATTGCCATTACATTACTATAAAAAATTCTCAGTTCCAACTTCTCTTTTTTTTTTTTTTTTATCTAACTAAGAAGTTAGAAGTTGATTATTTAAATTCAAATGGCATTCTTAAAAAAAAAAAAAGAATTTGAATCACATTCTAAAAAAATAAAAAAGAATTCTCAATTCGAACTTAGATTTTTTTTATCCAACCAAAAAATTAGAAGCCGCTAAATTAAATTCGAATCACATTCTTTAAAAAAAAAAAAGAATTTGAATCATACTTAAAAAAAAAAAGAAACTATAGTTCAAACTTTTGAATTTTTTTATCCAAATAAAAGATAGAAACTGATGATTTAAATTAGAATTACATTCTTAAAAAATTAAAAAAAAAAGTCTTTTGTATTTTATTTAGGTAATGTTTGATATCATTTTCAAAATTATCAAAGTAATTTAATCATAGAAATGATTTTATTATTAAGGTACTAAGATGATTTTATTACTCATGATCTTAAATCACTTTCTTTGGTTAAGAATCATTAATTCTTATTAATTAAATATTCCTTTATTTTGTATTACTAAAAATAAAACATTATTTGGTTTGAAAGTATCAAAACAACCATACATATTATAATAGTTACACAAGTTAATAATTTCAATATTATTTAAAGATAATAATTTGTATATAAAATATTACTAATATTTTATTTACTTCATAATAAATATAATTAAATTATTAAATTAAAAATATATTTATTGACAGTAAACTAGTTTGTGCAATATAAATTATGTAAAAAATATTTGAATTAAAAATAAAGTTAATATATTAAAATAAAAAAATTATATTATAAAAAATTAAAAAAAAAGACAAAATATTTTTGAATTTGTTACAATGAATATTTTTTTGAAAATATAAAAATTATAATATAGCATAACAATTAATTTTAAGAAGAAGTAAATTTTAATTCATTTATTAATTGATAATATTAACTATTATTAATTTTACATATCATTTCACTTCAGTGATAAAAGTTTCTCATATCTTTGATGAGAATTAGATCATTCTTCAAAATAGTAATATAATCATTCTAATTATTTAAGATCACCATCATATAAAATTACTAAATAGTTACCAAATACGATAATTTGATCACTATACCTAAATCACTATAATTTTTTTGAATAATCACTATATACTAAATACTACTTTAAGTGCTACTGATATTATAATATGAAGTTCAATTTATAAGATGATAATATCATATTCCTACACATATACATTTAAAAAAATATATTTTTTAAAACATGTAAATTATTTTATAAGCAATGTTGTGCTTGCAATATTTAATTTTTATTAAAAAAAGAAATTTCAAATTTTATTTTTTGAAAAAAAAAAAAATCATGTACAGACTATATTGGGATGTACTCGTTTTCAAATTTAAACTTTCGAAACAGAGTTTTAATTTTTAAAACTTTCAATGTGTAAAATAAAATTAGTCAGTGATTTTTTTTTTAATTAGGATTAAAAAATCAGAAACGATGAGGTGGGCTCCATTATCAGTTTGTTATCCACTTATCCTTGTGCAAACGACAACGTAAAAGTGGAAAACTCCCGTCGTTCACGTACTTGGTAGTTTGGTATGGTGTGTAATCCCCGTAAAAACCGCACATTCAAAACTCGACCAAAGCCTCCTTACAACTTCCCAACTCAACAAATCTTTCCCACTTCCAAGTTCCAACTTCGAAAATGTCGACGATGACGATGATGATGGCAGCCAAAGCCACTTCGCTTCAAAACTTTAACTTGAAAGCTTCCACATTTCGGTCAAGGATGAGCAAGTCGTCTAATCCAACGGTCAGAATGCAGACGCGGATTCACCGTCTGATTGAGGATCAAGGCATCGTCCTAATGCCTGGCTGCTACGACGCTCTCTCGGCTGCCATAGTCCAGCAGTCTGGTTTCAGTGCTGGGTTCATCTCTGGTTATGCTCTCTCCGCCTCCCTCCTTGGCAAACCCGACTTTGGATTGCTAACGTCAGAACCCTTCTTTTTAAATTCTATTTATTTATTTATTTATTTTGGGGTTGTAAAAAGTTAAATAATATGATATTTGGTTTTGGTGTTCTTGAAGGCCACCGGAAATGGCGGCGACGGCGAGGACGGTTTGTGCAGCGGCTCCGATGATACCGATAATTGCAGATGCTGGTATATCCTATTGTCATTACTACATTTTATAAAATGAATTAATTCAAGATTTCACTAATCCTATTAAATTTGCTTGTTTTCAGATACTGGTGGTGGCAATGCTCTAAACGTCCAGAGGACTATCAAGGATTTAATTGCAGCAGGTGCTGCTGGTTGCTTTCTTGAGGTACAAAACAAATATGACCCAGATTATTAAAGATAATAAATGCTGCAGTTCTTCTGGGACAAGGCTCAATTTTGGTTTTACTATCTTGATATTCTTGAATGCCTGTTTCCCTATGTGCAAAATAGAGATGGAACACATCTTTAGATGAATTCGCTTTATAAGCTTGTTCTCTGCTCAAAAAAAAAAAGAAGTTTTTCATCTTATCTAGCTATGATGTAAAGGTCCATTGCAGTGTTTGTGAAGGACCTCTTGCTTCCTTATGACTGATTTTGGTTTACTTTCCTTTCAGGATCAAGCATGGCCAAAGAAGTGTGGTATGACTCTACACTCTACAGTTCCTCCACTTCATATTTTCAAATTAGACTTGGAAAAGATGCTATCAAGAATAACTTTGTCATCATTCTTTTTGTTTTTCTTTTTTGTCATGTTACTTTGAGTAGTAATTGTTCCTCTGCCTTTGCATTCAACCAGGGCATATGCGTGGCAAACAGGTATCTTTTCTTATTCCCGGTTTCTTGTATTAGAAGTTTCTTTAAACAAAGGATGCTACTTCTTAATCAAAATGTCAGGTCTGAAGATGAGCAAATGTCTCTTATTAGTTATTTACTTTGGTGATTAGGTCTTTCTGATGATTAGATGTTATTATAGAGACAAGACTTCTTTTTTTCATTTATAAGTCCTTTCACTCATGTCCCCTTTTTCCTAAACTTGCTCTTTTAGGTTATTGCTGCAGAGGAGCATGCTGCCAAAATTGCATCTGCAAGGGATGCCATTGGAAATTCTGACTTTTTCCTTGTGGCTAGAACTGATGCGCGTGCTACATCAGCAAAAACTGGTCTTTCTGATGCCATCTCAAGAGCTAATCTTTATATGGAGGCACTACTCTTGCAATTTTATTGTTTCTAATGCAATAAATTCTTCTTTTTTTTTGTGATTTTATATGATGCCTTTCCCTTTTATGGGGATTTGTCTTTACTGTAATCCGTTAAAAGTGCATTGGATGTAATCTGCTTTTTCCTTGCCTTTTCCTCTGTCTACACCCTGTGACCAAGTCTTCAGGAATTAGAATGAATTTTAGATTTGAATCGGTTATTTGACACATTACAAAGTAAATTATTGGGTCATAGAAGAAATTTTCCTTCGCCATTGAGCTGGTGAGCTCATCGCATGGTTATGTTCATTTTGAATACTTGCAATGAGCATGCCTCTGCCTGTTGTGATCATTATTAAGCCAAGAACTTTAAGGCTTTAGCTAAGTGCCTGCTGAAGAGCAGGAAAGTTAACATAAGAGAATATTATACCAAATTGTTCTTAGGCCAAAACTCTTCTTTAGTAACTGTTAAATTTGATTTACCTTGATATATGTTGGATTCAGATTCGATCAAACAATTTTTGTAAAGGCCTGTGAACCCCTAAACCTTCCCCATCTGATAATTTGCTTTTATCTTCTTCCAAATCCTGCAAGAGAGTATTATTGATCAAGCATGAACTGAATTATTACTAAATTCCATAATGATTCCATAATGTCGCTAAACTTTTCACCGGTGGTTGTGCAGGCAGGAGCAGATGCTTGTTTTGTGGAGGCACCAAGGAGTGATGATGAGCTTAAGGAGATTGGACGCCTTACAAAAGGGTACAGAGTTTGTAATATGATTGAAGGTGGAGTCACACCCTTGCACACACCTGAGGAGTTGAAAGCAATGGGCTTTCATTTGATCGTGCATCCACTAACTACCCTCTATGCATCAGCTCGTGCATTGGTAGATGTTCTTAAGACCCTGAAGGACAATGGAACTACTAGAGATCACCTTCAAAAGATGGCTACCTTTGAAGAATTTAATCAACTGGTCAAGTTGGAATCTTGGTTTGAACTTGAAGCACGCTATTCAAGTCTGAAGAATGTTATCTAGGAATTCCTTTTTACCAAGAAAGGGGATCATGTGAGTTTTCAAAACTTGAATTCATAATTCTCTGGAGAACTGATGAAAATCCAAGTGCTTTAGAATCAGAACAATCCAGCCTGTTATCGAACAGATGCTTCTTGTTGATGATCTGGATGAATGTTGCTGTATTTCTAGTACAATTCCAGGCTAGCTGTTTAGACCTGGCAATCTTGCTCATATCATTTAGATTGTCTTCTTCAGGTACCTTACCATTTGCTTCATAACTACTTACTCTCTGTCAAAATGGCTTACAGAGCAATAGCTGATATAGCTAAAGCGCAAGGTGATAGAATCGTATAAAATATTTTCAGAGCTCTAGGTTTAGGGTCCCTGAAAATCTTGTACTATTTGGTCATTTGCCTTGTTAATTGATATTTTCAAATTTATGCTTTCCAAAACCTTGGGAATACCATCATTTGCCACGTTTTCTTCAGGCAATTAGTTTTCTAGTGTATGAAAGGGTATAAGTCAGCTGTTTAGACAGAAGACACTTTTTCTTCCCTCCGTACTTGCAAAATAAAATAACCACCTTCAATTATAAGGAATTGCTTACTAGATTTCATCAAATTTAGGTTTTTAGGAGAGAAAACTCAAAGGGGATGCTTTCATGCTTCTATAATTTGCCTGGAACTGCTCTCTTGCCATTTAGCCTTAGCCCAATACTCTCCAACAATTTCAATGACAGTTGGCGGGAAAAACTGGCCGAGGGACTAAATTTCTTCATATGCAACACTGCTGGCTGGCCACTGTGAGACTAGAATGAAGATTGCCATAAATGCAGTGCATTCGCCTACTATCTTCTTGAGAATTACTAGTTAAAAGTATTACTGTGCTTTGGTTTTTCTAGCTAGCGAGAATACGAGTAGAAAATTATTAACAAAAAAAAAATTGTTCCATAATCCATTATTGTCACGTTGTTAAGGCTCAGTTTAGCATTATTATTGAAAGTAGTTTTTGTATTTAAAAATTATTTTTGAGTTAATGTCAACGTTAAATAATAAAAAAATTACAAATTTTTAATTTAAAAACTTAATTTTTAAATTCAAACAAAAATAGGATCTATCGAATGAATTGATTTTATGGTTATAATGTATCGTATCAAATGCTTGTCTAAGCAATGAAAACATTATTATTATTTTTTTGGAAGGAAGAAGATTACTGATTGAACTCGTAAATGATAAAATACTAGATAAATCATGTCTATATGATCTTTAAATTATGAGTTGTATATCGATTAGATTTCTATAATTTAATAAATATTTTATTGGTCCTTATACTTCTAATATTCTAACAAAATAGTCCTTCATTCTTTTCAATAAAGATAATTTGTTGATCACGTGTCTAATATGCGATTGATATGTGTAAATTGATGTATTAAAAGACATACTACATGAAAATTATTTATTTATTTATTTATTTATCTCTGATTCTCCCATCTTCCATTGCTCCGATTAAGGGTCAGCCAACACCAACAAAGGCTGAATCTGGCTCGATGGATACAACAGCGAGCTGTTGGAGCTAGATCTTGAGGCCCATAAGGTAATGAAAAATTTGATGAAAGGTCAATTTCTTACAACATTGAGAGTGACCAATAAGTTACTTTTAAAATTTGGAGAGTAAAACAACAAGCGATCCAAACAATAAGTGTAATATACCTAGATATTGGGGTTTTCATTTTCATACCAGATTCAAATATATGTTAATTGGGCTCGATGTATTAATAAACGGGAATCGTCGAAGTATTTATGTGAATATGTATAATCCATGGAATCGAAAAAACTATCAAAATAAAAGAATTTATGATAATAACTAATCCTTTTTTTGTAGTTCCTATGATGCAATTGGAGCTTATTAACGAAAGGAATCAATTTAGGTAGTCCTTTTTGTGGCTCTGGTGGCGATGAATGCGATGTTGAGAAGCTTCCATCGAAGTTCATTACAAGTCTTTGGGTACCTATCATGAACATTATCTAATAGTAGTTAAAAAGTGTAAAAAATAAAATTTTTTATATTCATTGGAACCACTATCGATCATATTTCTCTCTAGCGATAAATAAAAAAAGTTACACAAGGTTTTTTTTGGACTTGCTCATATGATACCCAATTATATGATATTTAAGCTAAAAAATTCTTGTTCTATGACACCTAATGTCTGAGCTAAGTGAATTTTGTAAAAGAAAAAAAATTAGAAGATAAATAAACATAGCATAAACTTTTTCTCTATTTTTTTATTTTTAATTCGAACGCATCAATATCATCAAATATTTTGATCCAACGTAGACTCTTGAAATATTAACAAGAGAACAAAGCGTGTTGTCTGCGTTCGAAACCAACGAGGATTTTCCAATCAAATTTCCTATATTGTTCTCATCACCATAGTCAATCTCTTCATTCTATCTGTTTTCCCTTCTCTCCCACGCTGCAACTCAAAACTCTATTGAAAAAGTAGTAGAAAATTTAGAACATCATGAATAGATCAGAACAAGAAGTGACGCAATTTCTTGGGTTCTTTGGCATTTACAAAGAATCCTACAAAGTCATCTTTGAACGGAGAAAAATCTTCAGCAAGATCACTTTATCTTTAATCCTTCCTGTATCTTTCATCTACCTTGTTAACATGGAAGTATCGAATCTCTTCTTCAGGAAAATCATCCATAACGAAATAGAACTTGATCATGCTCGATCGGGCACTCCCAACTACGAGAAACTATCTAACCTTCTCTCCAATGAATGGGATTACTTTTGGCTTTTCCAGGCTGCCTACTTCACTTTGATTGCCATCTTTTCCCTTCTTTCAACTGCTGCAGTTTCTTACACGACCGCCTGCAAATATACATCTCGGGAACTTACGTTCAAGAAAGTCATGAGCGTTGTTCCCAAGGTTTGGAAGAGGCTGATGGTTACTTTCTTATGTTTTTTCGTTATCATGTTTTTTTATCTCGTTTTAGCTCCTGTTTTCTTGATTATTTGGGCAATTTCAATCCAAGCAAGCGACATCATGTGTGTTGCAGTCGTTGTTGTTTTAATGATTTTGTACTTGGTGGGGCTTTTGTATTTGACCATAATCTGGAGCTTGGCTAGCGTTGTCTCTGTTTTAGAAGAGGCCAACGGGTTCCAAGCCCTGGTCAAGAGCAAAAACCTGATCAAAGGAAAACTATGGATGGCGATAGTCATTTTCCTCGCGCTCAATCTAATATTGGGGATCATCCAGATTGCATTTCAGATGCTGATTGTGCATGAAAGCACCTTGGGCATGGCTAACAGGGTTGTATATGCAATTATTTGTTTCTTGTTGCTTTCCATGTCGATTCTCTTCGCATTAGTCATCCAGACAATGTTTTACTTCGTCTGCAAATCTTACCATCATGAAAACATAGAGAAATCTGCTTTGTCAGATCACCTGGAAGCTTACCTGCGAGAGGATGTTCCTTTGATTGCCAAGGATGCTCAGCTAGGGCAATATCATGTTTGATTGACTTCAAATAATGGATGCATGTAATAATATATAATTATTTTCACTACCAATGCTTTATGTAAGAGCAATAATTGTATAAAATAGTCTTCAACGTCTTGGTCTAGTAATTAAAAACGTCTTAAAAAGATATAAGGTTGGAGTTCGATCCCAACCTCCGTCCTCTCCTTTTATTGTAAGGTTTTGCCTCCTTAAAATAAAAAAAAAAATTGTGTAAATAATAATAAATAAATTGCAATAGCATGACAATTATATTCAATATTCAGAACGTTTTTTCAGTTTTAAGTCTTTTTATTAATGAAATAATAAATGTTATGGTTGGTTGCAACTGTTTCAAGCTAAATTTTTTTTTTTGATAAACTTTAGAATAAGATTATAAAAAAAATTACACATTTTGAGTTAGTTTAAAGGCAAAAGAAATTTAAATTTTAAATTTCCACCAACTAAAACACGATAGCAAATGTTAAATTAAGGATTATATTCTTCATCCGACGAAAAAAAAATTGCTGATAACAAATTTTGAGTTCGGTTAAAAATTATTGACCTTTAAGAGTTAGTATTAATTTGGGTCAAATTAGATTTTAGATGAATAAACAAAATTTCAAGTTTAGAGTTTTTTTTATTATTTTTTAAATTATGATTGAAATTTAAATTTAAAACCTTTAATTTTGAAAATAATTCTAATAACATATAACTAACAACTCATTAAACAATTTAAGTAGTGTTTTATTGCATTTTAATATGCAATCAAATACTTGTGAAAGATTAATAATTAAGTATGAGTCAATTTCATATTTGAATTTAAGTGGGCCTCAGTTTAAATTTAACACAAGATTTATTCCGAGTTAAACTCGAATCAAGAATATTTTAAGAACAAAATATTGACATAAAATTTCATAATTCACCCCTAAGATAACAATTAACATATAGTATAAAAGATTTTTGAAAAAAATATGGTGTGAAAGATGTTAGAACCAACCAAACACATCCTACCTAGAAAGGACACAATATTCCATTTTGGAACCAAAACATGTCTGAAACCAAACAGGTCAATTAGTGACTGGACCTTCAAAGATCAATCAAAGTTAACCGGAGATTATTACTATTACCAACAGCTTAAAAGACCGGAGTAAATCAACAAACGTACTCCTCTCTGCACCGAATCCAATCCCAAACTGCTGGCGCAAGTAATTGGTTCAGTCGGCAACAGAACTGGAAAAAATGGCCTTTTTAAACTTTCTTATAGAGACAGGAGAGAGAAGAAGCCTTTAAAGCCTTGTTTCTTACATTCTTTTTTCTTCTGCTTTCCTTTGCTTTCTCCCAAAACAATCAATCATCTTCTCCATTGTCCAGATCCAAATTACAGTATTACTATCATCGTTGAAGAGGTTTGAAAAGATGGAGTCTTCGTCTGAGTTTGACTACTTGTTTAAGTTGTTATTGATAGGGGATTCGGGTGTGGGAAAGAGTACTCTCCTCTTGAGTTTCACTTCCGATACTTTTGAGGAACTCAATCCTACCATCGGTAACCTTACCCATTTCCCCTTTTGATTAATTTGTTTTGCAAATTGAAAAATGTGATTATGTTTTGGGTTTTTTTTTTCCCCGTAGGTGTGGATTTTAAGGTGAAGCACGCAACTCTTGGAGGGAAAAAGCTGAAGCTGGCCATTTGGGACACAGGTAAAACATTGTCGGATCCTGTTTCTTTTTCCTGTTCCATTGCTTTTATTTTATTTTATTAAAATGTGGTATATTTGTCTTTGACATTTGACAATTAATATAGAAGATATCATTAGATGTTGAGTGGAAAAATTCAATGATTATTGTGTTCATTTTGAGTTCTTACAGCACATTTGAAAGTATTAGATTGTGATATTGCTGGAACTTGCAAACTTTGTATGGTTTTGACATGGTGCTACAATTTTATTTGAAAGAGAGGACTGTCTGACTGTAAGTTTGCAACCCATTTCCGCCTTCTACACAAACTTTAGATTAATTATGAATTATCTGTAAAGAGCTCTTGTTCTTTGGATACGTTAATTAAAGTATAGCTTGTATAGGACGTTTTCAGAATTTGGTATTGTGTATACCTTGTGTTTGTTTTGTGTGAAATGAGTTTGAAGACTTGAATAGGATAAATTGTTAATCACATTCATAACTTCACTTTATGCAGCCGGACAGGAAAGGTTTAGAACGCTAACTAGTTCATATTACCGAGGAGCTCAAGGGATAATTATGGGTATGGACTTCATTTATCACTTGCTAGCAGCTACTTTTATCTACTTCTATGGCACAACAGCCGTTATATTTGTATCTGTGCTGTTAAAAATGATAGTTATCTAGACGTGTTGATCCTTTCTGTAAAAATTCACATCATCTATGAAGTTTTCTTTTTCTTTCTTCTTTGCTTCCATTTTTTTTCTTTTTTGATCAGTAATCATGCTTTTGAAGTTATTAGTGCTATTCTGTTAGTTATATCTCATAATAATGAGACATTCTGGGATCATACCTCCCATATCTTACATTCTTACTTGAGAGTACTGATGTGATGAACCTCACAAGGTGGGATAGATTGGGTCACAGTTGGTTTGTTTTAGGCCAGTTGGTTATGTGGGATTACATAGGATTGACAAACATGTTTGGTCTTGTTGATGAAGAGATCACTAGATGAAAAAATGCTGCTTCCAAAAGCCTTGGAATTTGCTGTAGATTGATTTTCTATCCTCTAATTTGGTTCTGCAAAGGACATGTTATAGAATGAGAAATAATTTAATATATTGTGTTAAGAGGTGCAGTGCTTTTTCCTTCTGTAGCATTTTTAGTAATAACTGATAGGTTGTGCTAACTGACTGAAATTGGTAACTTATATCTAAACAGAAGCTATTTACCTTCCAGTTATAATAACGCTGTGCATTTCAATCAATATTATAGTCAAAATACAAGGTTGGGTTAGTGTGGCACCAAAGCTTCCACCAACTTTAGCTTTGAAAATTTAGATCAAGTTCTCCAATGTTCTAGCTAGATTGGCCTCAGGTTGGGAAAGTTAGGACTCCAACTCGACAGGCTGCCTGGATGTTGTTCTGGTATATTTGAAAAGCTGTGTTGATTTAGCCCAAGAATGGCTAAACATTTGGGTAGCAAAGTAAGATTTATATTGCTTGGTGCTATCAGAAACAGTATCAGTCCATGATTGTTATTTCACAGTTGATGTGTAACTGCTGTCTAAGATAATCAGATCCCTGATTGTAGATTGATTTAACTACCAAAAGAAGATTTACATAAGGTATTCCCTTCTGTTGAACAACTAATGGAGGCACTCCTTGTTTGGATGTATTTGAATACCCAGCTGGTTTATTTTATCTCTTTTTCCCCTTGTCTTAGAGTTTTCTTATATGATGTAGTTATTATGTTTGTTCTGGTACAGTGTACGATGTAACACGGCGAGACACATTTGTAAATCTATCTGACATATGGGCTAAAGAAATTGATCTGTACTCAACAAATCAGGACTGCGTCAAGATGCTTGTTGGCAACAAAGTTGACAAGGTATAATTTGAAAAGTATTTATGTCCTTTAATTTCACCTAGGTTGTTTGTTTTTATGTTTCAGTATTGCCCACTGAAATTGTTCTTGACTGTTATCTTAATGTTTATGCCATTTGGTCACTTATTAAAAAATAAGTCGATCTTTTTTTTTTGGACAATAGTTATAAAAAAATAAGTTTGTGTAATTTGATTGTTAAACTCACATCATGTACAGGAAAGTGAAAGAGTTGTCAGCAAAAAAGAGGGCATTGACTTTGCTCGGGAATATGGATGTCTTTTTATTGAGTGTAGTGCAAAAACGCGAGTCAATGTGGAACAATGCTTTGAGGAGCTTGTCTTAAAGGTAATTGAAATCCTAGAGTCAAGCTGGTTATTTATGTGCTCAATTAATTGGTTGTTGGAAGCATTTTATAGTTATAAAATTCCAGTTTTGTCAATTAGCTGCAAAGTATGAGTATCACCCAGATATTCAACATCCAAACGTGTACTTCCACTTATTCAGTAAATATATTTGCTTGCTTCTGCTCTGATTGACACTTCTGCAATCATCTACAATCTGCATAAATTTCAAATTGATTTTAGAATATTCAGGCCTCTAAGTGGAGCTCCTTCTCCCCAAATATTTAGTTGGTGGCTGGTATTTATGCATGCTGTTTCCAAATTATTTCAATGTTGACTGGCAGTTTCAAGCATGCCGATGCATGGTCATATATATATATATATGTATATACATGCTTAGATAGTTAGTTCAACATGAAAATCACATTTGATTTGCAGATATTGGAGACACCAAGCCTCTTGGCTGAGGGGTCATCTGGAGTGAAAAAGAACATCTTCAAACAGAATCCTCCTCAAAATGGTGCTTCAACCGGTAGTTGTTGTTCATGGTGATCTATCATTAAAGTTTTGCAACTCTCTTCAGGTTGCAGCTTGTTTCCTTTACATTACTGCATTTACACCTGTTTATTCTAGCTTGTTCATGGTCGGTCAGTCATTAACCATGAAATGTACATTAATCCTGAATTTCTAGTATTGATGTGATTATGTTACTATTAAAAATCATAAAGAAAATAAAATAGGTGGTATTTACTGCCTTGCAAAAGGTTCCCTTTGCTTAACAGTGAGATGCGGTTTTACTGTTGGGTATTGTTTCTGTTTACATGCTTTATTAACCATGATCAGTATGGGAGATATATAGGTGGTATGTCTTTAAGCCTTAAGGGCCATGGTTGGATTCATGATTGTTTTTTTTTTAAGAAGTATTCATTTATAATATATATATATATATATATATATATATATATATATATAAGGAACTGTCGATGAAAAGAGGCTCAAAGAGAAAATAATGTTATTAAATAATATTATTTTATTTTGTGCTTGAGATATGCAAAGATTAGAATAGGATAATTTATTTATTTGTTAAAATGATTTTTTTTTAAAACTTATATAATTTAAATTATTGATGTAATTTTTAAAAGTATAATAAAACATATAAGATCAATCTCATGAATTAAAAATAATTTTTTTTATTTTGAAAGATTAAATCATTTTATATCAAGAGAATAATTGATTTTCATTATAATTTTATTTTTTTAAATATAAATTAAGTATAATATAAAATAATTTTTATTATATCCTATTCGTAATTTTATACATCAAATATTATCTAAATTCTTTAGAAAGTCAAGCAAGGACCCATTTTCTCTTTTTTCTTTATCTTAACTTGACGTCAATATTTTAACAGTTTAATATCTTCTTAATCTAAATTAATAGTTCATAGAAGGTAACATTAAAAATTTCTATATATTTTTTAAGAAGTCAAGGATTTGAAAATTTTTTCATCTTCTTAATATATTGATATTTTATATGAGATTATTAAGAGTTAAATTCTAATTATTATAATTAAGAATTCAGTATTTTATCAATAAATTAGTTGAATTAAATTAACAGAAAATCTATTTACGATCATCAATTTTAAGTTTTTCACGAAAAAATAAATGAGAAACAAAAGAAAACAACTTTAATTTCATTTTTAAGGCCCATAATTATTTTGGGCCAATATAGGCCTGTAAACTTGATTTGAGACAGAAAACCCCATGGTTTTAGGCAATAGTTTGAAGCAGCTTTTGGTGGGAGCGTGAGCAGAGCAACAAGGCCGTGTCTACTGCTTCCTTCTCTTCCTGTGAGTTTGTTTCAGCAGAAAAGAAAACAAAAGCTGCAAACGTTCGATGGCGAGGAGCTTTTTGTAAGCTCCAAAGCCGAGCTTAAACGGAAACAAAAAGAAAAAAAGAAAGCAAAATCTGGCGGCTTCGAGTCCTTAAACCTAAGCCCTAATTTCTACAGAGGTATCAAGCGGAAGGGATAGAGAGTCCCTACGGCGATTCAGCGCAAGTCCATGCCGCTTATTCTCGCTAGAAACGACGTCATGGCCATGCCACGGACAGGTTCCGGGAAAACGGCGTTCTCTTTGGTGCCGATGTTAGAGAAGCTGAAGCAGCACATGCGTCAGGGCGGTGTCCGAGCTCTCATTTTGTCTCCTACTAGAGATTTGGCCTTGCAGACATTGAAGTTTACCAAGGAATTGGGAAAATTCACAGTTTTTTTTCTTTTTCTTTTTTAACTAAGTGGACTGTTTAAAGTTAATTTGTAATTATTCATGATTGTTTGGTTATATTTTTGGATAATTAAAAAAGCTAAAATTTTGATATTTGTAAATTTCGAAATTCATGATTTTGCTTTTCTATGGACCGATTATGTTTGAGAATCTTTTAATGAAATATGATCATGCTTTTTAGCAATTTTTGAGGAAGCAAAATCTAGTAATAAAAGTAATAACCAAAGGGAACCTTAGCTTCTTCGCATAGTAGTTGATTGCATTGCTTCGCATTGAGTTTGAGAGACTACTGAGACTGAGAGTTGTAAAATGTAAAGAAAATTTTATAAAACAGTATTAAGAAAAAGAAAAAGTCTTAACATGTTACCAATATTAGTGTTCGTGATTCTAATACTTGTAATTTGTTTTAAATGACTAGGAGTTTTGTTTTTGATGGGCCTGCCATCCTTAATGACAACTTATAAAGATATATTGTCTTTATGTAGATCTTCGTATTACTTTGCTTGTTGGCAGTGATAGCATGGAAAATCAGTTTGAAGAGTTAGCACAGAACACTGATATTATTATTGCTACTCCTGGTAGACTGATGCACCATCTAACCAAGGTTGATGATATGTCCTTTCGTATAGTGGAACATGTGGTATTTGATGAAGCAGATTCCCTTTTGGCATGGGTTTTGTTGAACAATTGCATAAAATCCTTAGCCAGCTTAGTGAAAACCGTCAGACCTTACTCTTTAGTGCAACTTTACTGGGTGCCCTTGCCGGGTTTGCTAAGGCTGGTCTGCAAGACCCTCAACTTGTGCGGCTTGATTTAGAAACCAAGATTAGTCCTGACCTAAAGCTTATCTTTTTCACCTTACGTCAGGAAGAAAAACATGCATCATTTTTGTATTTGGTAAGGGACCATATTAATTCTGATCAGCAAGCTTTGATATTTGTTTCCACGAAACATCATGTGGAGTTCCTTAATATTTTGTTTCGAGAAGAGGGTATTGAGCCATCTGTGTGTTATGGTGATATGGATCAAGATGCTTGGAAAATTAATATTTCAAAATTCAGATCAAGAAAAACTATGTTGCTTGTTGTCACAGATGTTGCTGCTAGGGTATTGAAATACCTTCACTTGATAATGTTATCAATTGGGACTTCCCTCCAAAACCCAAAATTTTTGTTCATCGAGTGGGCCAAGCAGCAATGGCAGGTCAAACTGGTACTGCATTTTCCTTTGTGACATCTGAGGATATGCCATACCTTCTAGACCTTCATCTATTTCTCTCAAGACCAATCAAGGCTGCAGCTACTGAAGAGGAGGTTTTGCAGGATATGGATGGAGTAATGAATAAAATTGATCAAGCAATTGCAAATGGAGAAACTGTTTAAGGGTGATTCCCACAAAAAATTATTGATCTTATTTCAGATAGGGCTAGAGAAATGATTGATTCGTCTGCAGAACTGAATAATATACAAAAGACCTGAACAAATGCTTTTTGCTTGTATTCAAAGAGTAACCTTTACCTGCAATGGAGTCCATCAAAAGGGCAAAGGATTTGCCCCATGAAGGGTTGCATCCAATCTTCAAAAATGTGCTGGAAGGAGGTGAATTGGTGGCACTTGCATTTTCTGAATGCTTGAAAGCTTTCAGATAATTTCTAAAGCCTTTTATCTGCAAAATAGCTGTGCTCTATGTTTAAGTGCTTCTTCCTTTTTTTTTTCCCCCCTTTGGGCTTCTGTGTGTTTTGCCAATTCAATTTTTATTTGTGTGATTCTTAAGCTGCAAAATTTTAACTCTAGAGTTACTGATTTATACCAGACCCAAGCAGACTACTCTGGAAGCCGAATGTGAAGCCTCTAAATCAAAGCATTTGCAGGTAACTCTGCAATTTTTATTTGTGGCATTTTCTTTCTATTGTCATTGAGTGCTTTCTTTTGATTCTCTCACTTTGTTGCACTTATAAGCTGGTATCCTAGACAATTATGTTACACTCCTTGTTAATTTCTCACACAACTGACTATGTAATCTGTAGTTTGAGATGGACACTAATATGAGTGCATCAATACATTTAACTGGAGTTACAAGAGCCTTGCAACCTAAACATTATGAATTTATGTCCTCTCCATAATATTTTTTTTTGTGCTTTAGTATCTAAAACATTGTATTAGATTAATAAACTTTGAAGATGTGATAAACATTCTTGTCCCATATTTTTTAACAAATTATCATGCCAAAAATCTGTGATGGTTTTACATTGTGTTTGCTTTAAATTTGTTAGTCAGTGCTCGATAATAGTGTATGAGATATGCCAAAAAAATTGAAGAAAGACTTGAAGATCATGGTGATGAAGATGAAGTGGAATTTGGTGTAAGGTTTATTCGGAAAACTTTTACAGGATGTTGAAGGAGCCAAGTAGGGATAATTACTCATTCTTAGTGATTAAAAGAACTTTTGAATTGTGAGGGAGATCCCTTCAAACTAAACATCCATTGAATTGTCTGCATTCTTATTATTAGAATTTCCAGAAACAAATATTTGATATTCCTCTATCACCATGATTAATCTTCACATCAGTGGAGCAATCCTTTCCCACATTTGGGCCCTCAAGTTGTTTCTGCCAATTCGTACAACCTAATAGCACAATGAATCTCCTATGAGTTGGAGTTGACTATGTCATTGGAGGTGATAACAGTTCGGATTGGATTTAGTTCAATTTTTTCGGATAATACATAGAATTATGAATTTTTAAAATCCAATTCGAATCCGAACCGATCTTTCATATGATCTTATTCGAATTAAATTTCACCGGTTCAGTTGGTTTGGTTCATCGGTTTATAAATTTTATTTTTATATTATTTTAAAATGAATTTGTAATATATTTAAATAGTTTTATATATAAAATAATTATTTTTATTTTATAAAAATTTACAAAATATATAAAAGCTAACAAAAATATATAATTTGGTTCGGGTTTTTTCGATTTTTTCTTTCTGATCTAAAATTCGATTCGAACATAATATGTATATTTAATATCTGAATTTAATCCAAACCAATTAAGAAAAAAACCTATCCAAAGTGAACTGAATACTACGGTTTCAAATCGATTTTCAATTTCTCGGTGTTTTTCCTCATCCCTACATGGCATTGCCACATTTGCAATGTGGTTTTCTACCTCTCCCTCTCCATGAAGCAAATGTTCTTTCCTTGCTCTTATAAAACAATGAAAAAAGAATTTAAAGTTAGAATTTTTTTATGTTCACATTAACTATGTGTGATATAGCCTGCAAATTTTTTTCCTTTACTTTCTGTGTATATCTTCCCAATATCTTTTCTATATTGATATGTTCTAGTCATAATTGTGAAAAAACTAAGAAATTAAACTGTCTGGAAAACTAAGAGAAAAAACTAAATGTATATTGAAAAACTGCTCATAAAAATTATACAAGAACCTTAGGTTTATATACTACTAACTAGGGGTTAAACTAGGAAACTAAATCTTCTTAAAAATTGATCATATAATTGAGGGATTGCCTATCCTAATTTTTTGTCCTTAATTCTAGGGATACAAATACTTATTTCTAAAGATACAAATATAAATATACATATTACAATATTACAAT